CCCGAGGAATCCCCCAGAGGCCCCCAGAAGGCGCCCAGGGGGCCTCCAGAATGCCCCCAGAAGCCCTGTCAAACTTTCGTGACTCCCCCAAAAAAGTCTCCAAGGAGGAGCCTCCGCAAAAAGAGCAGAGGATGGGGAAGAGTTCGCAGGGAAGGGCGAGAATGAAGACGAGGAAGAGGAAACAGGAGGGAAGGATAATTACCGAAATACAACATTATGACGACGACGCCAGACAAGGCAACGAGGAGTTATCGCTATTTGTTATGTTTTACCTTTCTGCCCTTCCGCCTTTGACTTCCGCTTGCATGTCAATCCTCAAGGACCAAGGTGCATGGCGCGAAGCGCCAATGCAGTCTTGTATAAAATATAAAGATATATGTATACATGTGCGTGTTGCACTATATAGAGTGTGCAGCCTCTGTGATGCAATATATACATATGGTGTACCATCTATGTGGTACGATGTATGCTGTACACTAGGTAGATGTGTATATCTAAACATATGTACAGCAGTATGTGTGGTGCAATGTATGTGGTGCAATCTAGGCTGTGCAATATAGGTTGTGGAAGTGTACGTGGTGCCATATACTGTTGTAACGAATGTGGTGCAATCTCGCTTGTGCAATATAGGTTGTGCACTATATGAGGTGCAACCTATGTGGTACAATATATGTGGCGCAATATGTGTTGTGCAATCGATGTGTTGCATTCTATGTGGTGCAATTGCTTTCTGTTCGCAGTGAATTGTCTACTCCACTGCTCGCGCAAACATCCCACCCACCAACCCGCAACTCGGTTTGCAAAACCTCTCCAGACCGTGACGGTGGGTACCATATAGCACTTGGCAACGACACCGACGCCGACGACGACGACGACGACAGCGACAACGACGACGAGGACGCCGCCGACAACGACTACGACGACACCGATGACGTCTCCAACGACTTCGACGACGCCGACAAATACGACGACGACAACGACGACAACGACGACACCGACGACGACGACGACGACGACGCCGACGCCGACGACGACGAGGACGATGACAACGACGACGACGACGAAAACGACGACGACGGCGCCGACGACGACGACGACGACGACGAAGACAACGACGACGACGACAACGTCGCCAGCGAAGACGACGACGACAAGGGAGGAGTGAGGACGACGACTGCGGCAACGACGACAACGACGAGGGAGGAGGGAGGACGGCGACGACGCGAACGACGAAGAGGGAGGGAGGACGGCGACGCCGACGACGACAACGACGAGGGAGGAGGGAAGACGACGACGACGACGACGACGACGACGATGACGACGCTGACGACGAAACAGGAGGGGCAACGACGAAACGCCGACGAAGACGACGAAGGAGGAGGGAAGACGACGACGGCGGCAACGACGACGGAAACGACGACGACGCCAAGACGAGGACGACGACGAGGTAAGACAAAGGACGACGACGGCGACGACGACGACGACGACGAGGGAGGTGGGATGACGGCGACGACGGCGACGACGACGCAAGAGCGCGCGCGCACGCTGTTGTTGAAAATCCGTGTTGCGAAACCGTATTTCGCATGTTCTCTGAACACACGATTTTGAAACCCTTCCGAAACCGATGGTTTTTGAAGAATTTCGGCATGCGCGCGCGACGACGCGGGCGTGCGCACTTCGTCCCGCTTTTGCAGAGGATTCTCGCGACGGCACGCGCGCAAGGGCGTTCGAAAGATTTCGACATGCGCGCGAGAAGCCCGTTTGGTAGAATTTCTTCATACTCATGGAAAACCTATGGTTTCCTGAAGATTTCGCAAGAGCGCGCGTAAGTTGTTTTAGCAAACCAGTGTTGCGAAACCCTGTGTTTTTGTATGTTTTTGGGGAACTCGATTTTGAAATCCTTACGAGATCAAAGGTTTTTAAGGATTTCGGCATGCGCGCGCGTCGACGCGCGCGTGTCGTCCCATTGTTTGCAAGGGAAGCTTGTAACCTTATGATTTTTTATAAACGAGTGCGCGCGCAAAATATGTTTGCAGAGGATGGCGCGGGGGGTGGTACTGCTTTGGCTAGGATAGTACGAATTCATATTGAAGGTGGACGATGGGGCAGAATCATATGTGAATTGCAATACGAAAAGGTGACCCGTTAATTCCGGGGGGGTAGGGTCTATTCTCTTTTTAGACAGGAGAAATGATTTGTACCCATCATTTGCAACATCCCATGCTCTTGCAAACATCCCACTCACCAACCCGCAACTTGGTTTAATCTCTGAAGACCGACTACGACGACACCGACGACAACGACTACATCGACACCGACAACGTCTCCGACGACTTCGACGACGACAACAACGACGACGACGACGACAACGAACGACACCGACGACGACGACGACGAAGACGACGCCGACGCCGACGACGACGACGACGACGATGACGACGCTGACGACGACGACAACGACACCGACGACGACGACGACGCCGACGACGACGACGAAGACGACGACGACGACGACGGCGGCGACGACGACGCCGCCGACGTCGACGACGACGAAGACAGCGACGACGCCGACGCCGACGACGCCGACGATGACGACGACGTCGCCAACGAAGACGACGACGACGACGACGTCGCCAACGAAGACGACGACGACGAGGGAGGAGGGAGGACGACGACGGCGACAACGACGACAACGACGAGGGAGGAGGGAGGACGGCGTCGACGCGAACGACGAAGAAGGAGGGACATCGACGCCGACGACCACAACGACGAGGGAGGAGGGAAGACCACGGCGACAACGACGACGGAAACGACCACGACGCCAAAGAGGACGACGACGCACACGAGGAAAGACAGAGGACGACGACGACGACGACGCGGGAGAGGGAGGACGGCGACGACGACGACGACGACGCAAAAGCGCGCACGCACGCTTTTGTTGAAAATCCGTGTTGCGAAACCTTGTGTTTGTGTATGCTTGTTGGACACATGATTTTGAAATACTTCCGAAACCGACGGTTTTTGAAGGATTTCGGCATGCGCGCGCGACGACGCGCGCCTGCACTTCGCCCCATTTTTTGCAGAGGATTCTCTGGCGACGGTACACGCGCAAGGGCGTTCGAAAGATTTCGACAGCGCGAAGCCCGTTTGGTAGTATGTTTCGGAAATCTCGAAAAGTCCATGATTTTCTTAAGATTTCGCAAGAGCGCGCGCGTAAGTTTTTGTTAGCAAATCAGTGTTGCGAAACCCTTTGTTGTTGCATGTTTTTTGGAAACTCGATTGTGAAATCCCATCGACACCGACAGTTTCTGAAGGATTCCGGCATTCGCGCGCGACGACGCGCGCGTGTGCACTTCGTCCCGTTTTTTGCAAGGGTTCTTGAAAACTAATGATTTTTGATAAACGAATGCGCGCGCATATTATCTTTTGCAGAGGATGGCGGGGGGGGAGTGTTACCAGCCTGGCTGCGATAATATGGACACTGGGCCAGAATCATATGTAAACTGCAATACGAAAAGGTGACCCGTTAACTCCGGGGGGGGTAGGGTCTGTTCTCTTTTTAAAAAGGAGGATCTATGTGGCGTCGACGAGGCGGCGACGTTGCGACGACGGGGCGGCGACGGCGATGATATGGCCACCAGACCGACAATCAGACCCAAACGACGGGCAGCGACGAGGCAGCGACGGGGCGGCGACGGCGACGACATGGCTGCCTGACCGACAGTCAGGCCCAGACGACAGGCGGCGACGAGGCGGCGACAAGGTGGCGACGGCGACAACATAGCCGCCAGACCAGCATGCAGGCCCACCGGCTTGGAAAAGTAATCAACATGTTTCTCTGTTTGAGCTTCCCATGACTTTCTGCGCGAGGGGCTTTCAGCAGATGTTAAGAATGGCCCCGACGGGTGGATAGAGCCCCGAAATCCCACTGGAGAGAGGCCTAGCCACGCCCAAGAGGGCACCAAGACGGCTCAAATGACGCCTGGAGAAACCCAAACCAGAGATAGTCCTAAGGGGTAGGGGGAGTGAGTGGAGGGCGTGGTCCCGGGAGTCAACAGGGGGTCGCGCCAAGGGGGGCTCGAGCTACTCTGGGCAATCTCAAGGAAATCTGGGCCAATTCGGGGGCCCACTGGGGGGAGCTTGGGCAAATTGTTTCGTGAACACACGTGTCCTACTACTGGCAAGGACTGCGGCTTGCAGGAGCTTCCGTAGAAGGAACCTGTACGGAACGCTGTAACGCCGGCCACTTATTCCAACTTGGTCAAGCTTGCGGCAAATTTGGACCAGCGTGTGCTGCATGCGCCCCCTCCTGCTGCCCCGCTTGCTGCCCTCCCACCGTCTTTGCCGATGGGCCCCCTTTCCGCCTTTTGCGCCCATGCCGATTTCGTTTCCGTGACCGGGGAGAGGGCCGCAAAAGAAGCAGAAGAACGGGCTGCATGACCCTGTGCCGACCCCGAAGCCCCGTGCCACCTCTGCCCCCCTGGCGCCGGCTCTCCCTCCACTCGGGGGTGGCCAAGAGGGGGGCGTCTAAGAGGATGGTGCGCAAATCATGGTCGGCGGCATGTGCGCGGCCCAAGAGGGGGGGGTCAGGGACGCGTGGAAACAAAACGAGGCGCCGTGAAGCCTGGGGAGATACCAGGACCCCGCCATGAGATCCGAGCCCCCGTAAGTCATCGCCCCCCTCGTGGCCGCCCCCGATCCACGCACCCCTCCAGCACAGGCCCCGTCCCCGGCTGGACCGCCTCCCCAGACCCCCGACGTCATGATTTTTTCATGACGTCGACCCCCAGAAGTCCCGACCCATTCCCCAGGACCGGCTTTGCATCCTGAGTCGTTTTTGGACGGTCCCGAGGGCTGGTAAGGGCCCCCAGAGGCCAAAAATCCTAAAGAACCTCCCGTCGTGATTTTTTCAGGACTCGAGGGGGTCTGGGTCGCTCGCTGCTCCCCTCCAGCGCCAGGCCCGCGCGCCCCTGCCGCGCGGCGCGAGCGGCCGGAGGGGCCTCGTGGGACTGAGCGAGCTGCGGGTGCTGCCCACGGACTTCGTCGTGCCCGTTCGCAGGAGATCGTCGGCCTGCGACCGCGGGCAGGAGAGCGGAGGAGGAGGAGAGCGGAGGAGGAGGAGGAGGAGGAGGAGGAGGAGGAGGAGGAGGAGGGGGGGGAGGAGGAGGAGGAGGAGGAGAGGAGGAGGAGAATGGGGGGCAACGGCAGTCGGCGGCGAGCGAGAGGGGAAACTGAGAAGGAGAAGGCCTCGTCAGACGGCGGCGGAACCCATCCGAAGCCCCCGCGCCTTCTGAGAGGCTTGTTGGTGTCTTCGGGGAGGGCTCAGAAAACTGCTCAGAAGGCCAGGGGACTTCCGAGCCTTCTGGGAAGGCCTCCTCCTTCTCACTTCCCCCCCTCGCTCGCCGCCGAAATAGGGGGGGCCTGGCACAGGGGGGGAAGCATCGACCCGAAATCGGCGATACATCGCCGATAGATCGGCGATAGGCCCCCCGATAGCAGGTCCTCACGCTCCTGGGCGGGGTGGGGCTTGCGGGCCGCTGTCGGCGACGAATGGACGATTGGGGGTCGAGGTATCCCTCTCGTGTTTTCGGGTCCTGGCCATCGCTCGGACGTCCATTCCCTGTGTTTTGTTCGGTTTCGTGCGTGGTTTTTTCGCCAAGCGATCAAGAAGGCTCCTCGATGGTCCTCGCCGAGGAAAAAGCGCACACGTCCGAGCGATGCCAAGGGTCCCAAGTCGGCTCTCCGGCGGCCGTTCGGGACGACCTGGGCACGCCTGGAGCGCTCTCGGCGAGGCGCGGTCGCCCGAGGGCAGCCTGAGGCTGGAGAGGCCGCAGAGAACCGGCGAGAGCGTCCGAGAGCCTCGAACCTCGAGGCCTCTCGTCCCCCTCTGCCTGTCCCCCCCCTGTCGTTGCCCCCGAGGGAGGGGGGAAGACCGAACAGGGAGGGGGAGGATAGAGCGTCAGCCGTCGGCGGCACGGAGGGCGGCGGCTATGCAGGGGTGGTGGAGGGGGGGGGGGGGGCGAGGGGAAGACGCGGGGCTGGGCCGGGGACAGGGGTGGGCAGGCGAGCGACGAAAAGAGACGGGCCTTGCGCGACATGGCATCGCGACCTTTCGCGGTGGCTTACGCGGGCCGCCAGCGCGGCACGCTGCACTGAAAGCGAGGGCGCTCACGCGCGACCTCACGCACAGGGCGCCCCCTCGGTCGGAAGAGGTAGGTAGAAACACGAAGTAAGTAAGCGCTGGAAGTACATAGGGCTTCCGCCCGCCCCCTGAAGAGGAAGGAAAATACGAGAGCACTCGATCATTGAAGCAGGAGAATGCCCAGCCCGCCCTACCGACACGTTCGGGGGTGCGACAGGGAGGAGTTATTTTCAAGGAAGGGGGGCGGAGGAGGAGAAGGAGAAGGTGGAGGGGGAGGAGGAGGAGGAGGAGGAGGAGGAGGAGGAGGAGGAGAAGGAGGAGGAGGAGGAGGAGGCGGAGGAGGAGGAGGAGGTGAAGGCGCATGATGCAGCTTGGGATCCGAAAATCCAAGTGCCTACGTTCGACGACCAGCGCACGCGCAGGCAGCTGGCGCGCCGACGTCGGCGACGACGGCCCCGTCTGCGTGGGCGCCACTCGGGCGGCGAACCCCTCGGCCGCCCGACCTGTGCCAGAGCCAGGGGGGGGGCGGCCACGGCCACGGCCACGGCCACGGCCACGGCCACGGCCACGGCCACGGCCACGGCCACGGCCACGCCACGGCCACGGCCACGGCCACGGCCACGGCCACGGGGAGGAGGAAGGGGGAAGGAGGGAGGACGAGGGAGGAGCAAGAGGAAGGCAGAATCGAGACAGAATCGAACCGACATGTGTAGATTTACCTATCTATATACAAGACAGCATTGGCACTTCGCGCCATGCACCTTGGTCCTTGAAGATTGGTATGCGGGCGGAAGTCGCGGCGGCAGGGCAGGAAGGTAAAGCAGAACAAACGGCGATAACTCCTCGTTGCCTTGTCCAGCATCGTCGTCATAATAATGTGTTTCGGTGTCCTTCCGTCGTGTGTCATCTTCCTCTTCCTCATTCTCGCCCTCCCCTACGAATTATTCCCCATCCTCCTCTGCCCTTTTTGCGGAGGCTCCTCCTTGGACAGCTTCTTGGGGGCATCATGAAAGTTTGATAGGGCTTCTTGGAGCCTTCTGGAGGCCCCCTGGGCGCCTTCTGGGGGCCTCTGGGGGATTCCTCGGGCCACCCTGCTTCCAACTGCGGTCTCCCTGGACGGCCGGGTTACGAATTGGAATGCTTCGGGCGGAGTCTTGGGGCCATCTTGGGCTGTCATGGGGCCCTCCTCGGGCCGTCTTGGGGCCCTGTTGGGCCGTTTGGGCGTCTCTTGGACTGCCTCGAAGCCCTTGCGGATAGTTTTCGCGTGATTTTCGGGCCTTTAGGCGGTCTCGGACGCCTGGAAGACGGAAGAACAGAGCATTCCCAAAATCATACACAAAAACAATTGGAAAGCAATGCTTTTCTGCATTTCGGAAGCCTCTTGGGGGTGTTCTTTGGGCCGTCTTCCGGCGTCTGGTGGGTGTTTGGGGCCTCTTGGAGCCCTCGGGGGGCCGTTCGGCCGCCCTCTTGACCGACTTGGGCCCGCTGCCTGGGCCCAGCATGGGCTTCCAGGAGCTCCCAAAAGCCCGGGGGACCTTCGGCAGGGCGTCCAGGGAGCCGCCAGGGCCAGGGATCTTAAGGGTCCCGTTTAGGGGGCGGGGGGTCGCGGGAGCCGGCGTCGGAGAGAGGTAGGGGGCCGAACTCTATACACTTTCCTCCTCCTCCTCCTCGCCTCCTCCTCCTCCTTTCCTCTCCCTTCTCCTCCTCCTCCTCCTCCCGACTCCTTCTCCTCCCTCCTCCTCCCCCTCCTCCCCCAGAGTCGGAGAGATGTAGGGAACCGCCGCTTTGTCCGGCCCTACACTGAAATTTGCACAGGAAAGCGGGTCATGGTATATATACGAATCAATCGATATGGAATGATCACATGCATTGAGCTGGAGGCAGCAGACAGGCGAGATTAGGCCACAGAGGAGCAAGATTTACAAATAGTGTATCTTAGGACGTACTTTTCTGATGGAAGTCAGTATTCTGACGATTCCGCGCGAGGTTTGTGCGCGCGGGATCCTGGTGTATACATGTTTCGTTGTTTCCTCGGGAAACGGAGACAAAAAGTACACATCACGCCACCCCGACGTCGTCATCCTCGAAAAGTCCTTGGATGGAAAAGCAGCCCGCCACTGGTAATATATATATATATGTTCCAGCTTCCGAAAATTGAACCTGGAGTCGGACGAGACCCGAAGGACGTGTCCGGAGCTTCAAGTCGGGCAGGTCCTCCTACAGGCGGGTTTGGGAAGAAGATTGTTTGAAAAAATAGAAAGGCCGTCCCCTGAAAAATTTTGGACTATTCTTGAAAACTCCTCCTGTAGGGGGACATGACCGACGTAACCGTAGCTCAAGAAGGACGTGCTCACCAACACCAGAAAGACAAAGGTTGGCGGCGAGCGAGGGGGGGAAGTGAGAAGGAGAAGACCTTCTCAGAATGCGGCGGGACTTCTCGGAAGCCATCGCGCAGTCTGAGAGGTTCTCTTCTGTATTCTGGGAAGGCTCAGAAAACTTCTCAAGAGGGCCGGGGGACTTCCAGGACTTCTGAGTGGGCCCGCCCCTTCTCACTTCCCCCCTCGGCTCGCCGCCCAAAGGCTCACCGCCAATGAATGGTGACATATAGAATGCCCGTGTTGTAAGTCCAGCGAGCTGGAGTGGGAGTCGGAGTTGGTGAGGGGGGAAGCGCCAGAGCCCGTCTCTTGCCAGACCCGGGCCTCATGCGTAGGAGTCGACGCCAGAGTCTTCGCCAAAGTCGAATGGGAGTCGGAGAAGGGTTGGCAAGCAAGCGTCAGAAGGGGAGCGAGTACCAGGGTCGGAGCCAGCGTTGATGTCGGAGCGAAGGTCGGAGCCGGAGTCGTAGCGGCAGGAGCTGGAGACGGAGAGACGAGAAGGTGTGAGCTGGAGCCGGAAGATCGGAGCCTGAGTCGAACAGATGGGAGCCAGAAACGGAGCAACGAATACTGGTGACTGGCTCGAAGTCGGAACGCCCGGAACCCGAGTCGGGGCAACGGGGATCGGAGCCGAATACGGATGGGAGCCAGGGCCAGAAGATGGGAGCTGAAGGGAAAAGGAGTGTCTCGATGTTTTCGAGACACGGGCCCCTCACCTAGGACCGATTTTTCATCCCGATCCGTTTTTTGAAGATCCCGAGTCCTGGCGAAGGCCCCCGGAGGCAGACCAAAAATTGAAAAACCTTCCGTTGCAATGTTTGACACAACGCATCGCGCCGCTTGCCGCCTTCCAGCAATATAGACTTGTATATGTCTGGTATGTTGGCCATGATCGAAGAGGCGGGCAGCATTTGAGGCTGGCACCTCTTACTTGGTTGAGGTTTCGACGGAGGCAGCAGGCAACAGTTTTGAAAGCGCGCCGCAAAATGCAATATTGCAACGTCACTGATCGAAAAAGCGCAAATCACAACAACAACAACAACAACAACAACAACAACAACAACAACAACAACAACAACAGTTGTTGCCCCGGGGGGGGGGGAGCAACGCGCAACACCTCTGTCATACGCTAACGTAAATCTATATGTGTTTCCGAATCTCCGTTGGCTCCCTTACTGTTCCCCACGCACTCCTGTGTCCGAAAACCGACCACGCGCCAGCGAGGCCAGCTCCTCCTCCTGTTAGGACTCCTATGGAATCGTAGAGACCCTGTAAGGATCCTATAGGATCCCTATAGGACTCCTATGGAATCGTGCAGGACCCTGTAAGGATCCTATGGGATCCCCATAGGGTTCCTATGAAATCGTGCAGGACCCTGTAAGGATCCTATGGGATCCCCATAGGGTCCCTATGGAATCGTGCAGGACCCTGTAAGAATCCTATAGGATCCCTATAGGGTTCCGATGGGATCCTGTTGGACCTTGTAAGGATCCTATCGGATCCCTCCAGGGTTCCGATGGAACCGTGCGGGGCCCTGCAAGGATCCTATAATATCC